ACTGCAACTTGGCGAGATGATGAATCATTTCTTTGCACGTCGTTTGATGTACGTGTTTGTAGAAGAGTGAAAGAAAGAAAAGAAAGAGAGAAAGAAAGTGTTTGTCTACAAATTTACGTTAGACGGAGATACCAATTAGCAGCTCCTTATCTATATAGCCAAACATTTTTCAACGATGTTTTCGATGCTTTTACTTAACTCTGATTTAAAAACTTGTTGTTCAGTAGTAGTTATTTTCTGAAGACCTTATAGGTGATCAGAGTAAGTAAAACAAAATGGGATATATGTAGTTTTTGCAACTGTCTGTTTTTACGTGTTCACGAGCTCGAAATCTTTATGATGAATATGCATTGATAGTGTTTATTAGTTTATAGCCATTATTATTCCAGTTTGAGTGTTCAGTTGTTTTCAGTTTGAAATCAAGCCGATCTTTTGAGTACTTATGCGAACGAAGATTTTTAGGAAATTTTAAAAGGTTTGAAACGGTTTATGTAAGACTACTTTCAGGAGAATTTGCTAAAAAATATCAGCAATCACTTCTGAAGACATAGATACCAGTGCATTATAGTGCACGCACTTAAAGAGTTTGATCAGACTTAGTTTGTATTTTAGAAACAGTTTGAAATTTTACCCTGATTCCCGTTACTGAGATGAGGATAAGGTCATTTTGTATGTGAATTAGCTCTTTTACCGTTCGGTAATGAAAATTATTTCATATTGTGCTAAATAATTTCCAGTGTTATTGAATTTTCTGTCTTCTAGGCGAATATTAATTATATTATATTATAATAATATAATCTAATAGAATACTTGAAAAGTCACTTTGGTTTAATATCAAAGTTCGTCAATTCGTGACCTGAATTCTAGCCATTTAACGTCCCTTTCACCTTGCACAACAATCCATAACTAATTTTGAATTAGTTGCTTGTCCCTCTTCCATGAGATGCTTTTGGTATCATTGATATACGGGTGAAGCGATTTCTCCACAGGATTTTGATCCTGAATTCGTCAGATGTGTTTTTACAAATACGTGACTGTTTTTAAGTTTTGATAATAATCTACTGTAACAATCTGTTTCTGATCATCGTCTCGCATTTTTAAATATTTCCCGAGACAATAGGGGCCAATAGGATCATAATCCAACTGAAATTTATTCACAAATAATTGTGGATCGTTTGCCATATGCCCTAAGTCTTTCCAACTGAAAACACAAATACCACGAATATATTTTCCTGCATAATCGGTCTATCACCCCGTATTTTATATCGCGTGACAAACTGTTCTATATTCCAATCATATGGGTAATGTCCCGGGGCTACTTCAAATCGATTCAGGGTTGAATAAAATGTTCATCAGGCACATAGGTATTGTTTAGCCACAAATAAAATTCTTGCACCATAGCTGAACTATGGATAAATTCAACAAATTTACGACTTAATGTCACGTGAAATTCACCCTTGTGTAGAATTCAATATGGACATCACAAGAAAATAAGGTATGATCAAAATTATTCAAAGAAGTGTGATGCTAGAACACTGCAACGTGACACTGAAGAAGACTATCACTGATGTCGCTTGGTGGACTCTGCAATATACTGTCCGATATCTGTCAAGTCAATTTTACAGTATTTTATAGGACAGTAAATTAACCTTCTCTCTCTTTATCTATCTCTTTACATATTTGCTCAATCAATATTGTTACGTAATTTTGATCAGCTGACCATAGAGGTCGAAATATCATCAAATAATGTGTTGCATTGCAGCATTGGTTCCAAAATCTATTTTAAATTACTGTCCATTAACAAAGATCATATTTATTTTGGTCCTAAATAATATATGTGTATCGAGGCGCGTCATTCGTGAATGTATATAACTAAGGTGAACGGTGCTGTTTTTACTTGTTGATGATTTTGTTTTCGATTTTGTTCTAGCTGACTATAGGGCATTGACGTAATATCGTTCTGATTGTTTAACAGTTTTAATATTTGAACGATTTCTAAATTTGTTTTTAATGGAAAATCACTACCGGCTAAATTCAAGTAGTATTTCCTTTGTGGAAATTTTAACAAGTATTTTTGGCATTCTCGTTCAGCTTCTAACACCGAATAACGGCTCCATGTCACGTTATAACGAGCAGGCGACAGACAGACATTTTCTAAACATTTCACGAGACGTTTAACAACATTGTAGATTGTTTGCGATGTTTTGAGATCAACATGAATACAATAGAAATTGTGTGGACGATAAATTGTTCTCAATAACTGTTCAAATTGGAAAAGATTATCGTACATGAGAATAGTGAATGCAATGGGAAAGTTTGCCTCTTTATCTGTTATTTTATATTTATAAAATACATCTTTGGTGGCAAATGTTGGACACTTGTGTGCGATATATGTACCATTGTGTGAACGTAGCTGTTTTTTTCGCAAATAGTTGGTAAGATGATCGATTTCACTCGCAATTACAGTTTTATCTTGACGAATGAGTCGTCCACGTAGGGTCGATAAAAAGAGATCACGTTCATCATAACGAGAATGTCTTGATGATGAGGATAATTGAGTCGATTGTCCGATGATTAAGGACAATATTCCGAAAACAAGGATGATAAAGATCATATAAACAAAATAGTCATAACGTTTTTTCCCTTAAATAAACTACATACTGAAATATAGCAAACAATTGGGACTAATGCTACCACTTACGTTTGTACATCCATTTCAAGACAAAACCATAACACAAGCGACGCATTCTTAGATTTCTGTTTCAAACTTTTGTCTTTTGTGAAAAAGGCGGATTTGATGATAATGACGATGATACATACATTAATTTTTTATCACGTTGCAAGCTGACACCGTTACTCAGATGAAAGTTTTATCAAACGTACTCGATACTATGCACTACAAAACAACGCAATCGACCCACTACTTCCGTTCGAACAAAGTAGATTTTGTACCAAGAGCTTCAAACCTGCCTTTAATCATCTTTGAGTACCTAATCTATTAAAATAGAACCAATTTCGGACTTCTTTTATTTTGACGTTTCGATCACTATAAGATCTTCAGAAAATAACTACTACTGAACTAGACCCCAAAATGAAGTGCACCAGTGGGACTCATGCGGTTCTTCTATGCTTCTTCTGTTCACAATTACATCCAGACAACAAGTTTTTAAATCAGAGTTTAAGTAAAAGCATCGAAAACATCGTTGAAAAATGTTTGGCTATATAGATAAGGAGCTGCTAATTGGTATGTCCGTCTAACGTAAATTTGTAGACAAACACTTTCTTTCTCTCTTTCTTTTCTTTCTTTCACTCTTCTACAAACACGTACATCAAACGACGTGCAAAGAAATGATTCATCATCTCGCCAAGTTGCAGT